GGCTTTTGGGGGAAGCGCGGTGCTGGGAGTTGCTACAGTGAGGTTGTGGGCATGGTTTTGGGGTGAGTGCCGTGTTGGGACTCACCAAAGTAAGGTCATGTCTGTGATTTTGGGAAGAGCGCTGGGACTGGGAATTGCTAAAGTGAAGTTGTGGGCATGGTTTTGGGGGGAGCACGGTGCTGGGGGTTGCTAAAGTGAGGTTGTGAGCACGGTTTTGGGGTGAGCATGGCACTGGGAATTGCTAAATTGAAGTCGTGGGCATGGTTGTGGGGTGAATGCCGTGCTGGGACTCGCTGCAGTAAGGTCATGCCTGTGCTTTTGGGGAGAGCCCAGTACCAGGAATTACTAAAGCGGGGTTATAGGCATGCTTTTGGGGTGAGCACGGCACTGGGAGTTGCTAAAGCGGGGTTGTGGGCATGGTTTTGGGGAGAGCACAGTGCTGGGGGTTGCTAAAGTGAGGTTGTGGATGTGCTTTTGGGGGGAATATGGTGCTGGGAGTTGTTAAAGCGAGGTTGTGGGCATGGATTTGGGGTGAGTGCAGTGTTGGGACTCACCGAAGTAAGGTCATATCTGTGCTTTTGGGGAGGGTGCTGGGACTGGGAGTTGCTAAACCGAGGTTGTGGGCACAGTTTTGGGGAGAGCCCAGCACTGGGAGTTGCTAAAGTGAGGTTGTGGATGTGCTTTTGGGGGGAGCACAGCACTGGGAATGGCTGGATCACGGCACTGGGAAGTGCTAAAGTGAAATTTTTGGCATGTTTTTGGGGAGAGCACGGTGCTGGCACTCACCAGAGTACGGTTGTGTGGGTGCTCTGGGGGAGACCGCAGCACCAGGAATGGCTGGAGCTAAGTTGTGACTGTGTTTTTGGGGTGAGCGTGGTGACCCCGTCGGGTGAGAGGGGCTCCCAAAGGCTGTGGGCTGGGGCTGAGGGCAGCCGCTGCGGGGGCTGCCTGGGAGCTGGGGGAGAGGAGATCTGCTGGGGTTCACCCAGTGAGATGGGAGCAGCAAACTGGAGAGGCGGCTGTGAGGAGAACACCTTTATCCCCATCCCTGCCCCTTCTCAGTGCATCAGACCATCCTGGAGATGTGCAGGTTTTTATGATTTTTTTTTTTCTGTTTGACTAACTTGAAAAATCCTGCCCCATTTTTTTTTCTCCAAAGCATTTGTCTGAATAACGGGGGTGTCTCTGCCTGGGTCCGGGGGCTCCTGGCTGGGGCAGGAGGTACTGGATGCAGATTCCCCTTGCCAGAGGTGCCTCCAAAAGGAAGAGTTGTCCCTGCTGTTTCAGGCTGGCTTTGGGAAACGGCTGGAACCTCCTTAGAGGTGTTGGGGTGGAAAAATAACAGGAACTGGCTGGTGAGGGATGCTCAGACGCTGCTTTGGTTTAAGGGACATGGATGGAGAGGGAAAAGCAGGGCTGCAGTGAGCGGCTCTGGCTTGGAAAGCACAGGCGGAGAGGTGACGGAACGCGATCAGTTGGGAAGTAGAGGGGATAGGGAATATATTGGAGGGGTGAACAAATCACGGGGAAATCCTATCGCCGCAAGGGAAGGGAAAATATCAACAGCTCCAGGTTGAATCCTATAGAAACCTGAACGACTGCCACAGGGCAGCTGCTTTCCTGATTTCCCCCCCCCTTTTTTTTTTTCCGCCCCATTTTTTCCCCCCCTCAACCCCATAAGGGAAAGCAGGAGCTTGCAGCTGAGCTCAGCAAGCCTCAGCCGCTCCGCCG